TAGCACTGGCTGCTCTTGCAGAGGACCTGGGTTTAGTTCCCAGTACCCACATGGTGGCTAACAACCATTCCAACTCCAGTTTCAGGGGATCTTACACTCTCTTCTGACCTCCCCAGGCATTGCATGACATGGGTGCACTTACATACATTCAGGCAATACCACTTGTACACATAAAATAAAAATAGTAAATAAAATATTTAAATAACCCCAAGAGGTAGCATATTACAAGTGCTATTGAACAGATGTGGAAACAGTCCTGGGAGGTTAAGAAGCTTGACTAAACTCAGGCTGCAAATAAAAGCTAAATTTGTGATTTAAGACTTGGTCTTTGGAACTCTAGAAGGTCCTAGAGAAAAGTCATGCTTGGTCAGTGACTGCTCTTGCAGAGGACCCAGGGTCGATTCCCAGCACCCACTTGGTGGCTACAAACCATCCTTAACTCCAATTCCAGGAGAATCCAATGCCCTCTTCTGACTTCCACAGCATTGCACCACATGGGTGCACTCACATACACACTGGCAATACACTCATACACATAAAATAAAAATAATAAATAAAATATTTTTTTAAAAAAGTCATGCTTGGTCCCTAAGGTAGGGAGACAGCTGAGCACAGGTGGGAGGGATGGAACGGGGTAGTAGGTGAGAGGAGGCAGGGCTAGGGCCAGGAGAGGAGGCAGAAGGTTACAGAAGACCAAGAGAGGGAGATGTGAGGAAACACTACCTCCTTCCCAGTGTCACTCAGGACCCTCATCCTAATCCACCATGGAGGTTCTGAGAGCCTGGGGTGGATGTACCCATCAGCATCTCCAAGGATCATGGAACAGTCAGTCTCAGGACCACAACACCCAACAACCTGATTCATGTTTTAATGAAATGCAGGCCCTTATAAGCATGCAATTCTCTTTTGAGTCTTAGAGTCTTAGAATCTGAAATCATGGATTCATAGACCATGCAGAAAACCTTTAAAGATCATAACTCCCCATCCTTAGTTTGCAGATGGGAAAACTGAGGCTCAGAGAAGGTTTTCTAGTATGATTCTCCATTGCTGTGACAAAACACTCTGACCACTACCAACTTGGGGAGGAAAGGGTTTATTTGTCTTACATCGCCCAGGTCACAGTTCATCAAGGAGCCCAAGGTAGGAACTCAGGCAAGAACCTGGAGGCAGGAGCTGGAGCACAGGCCACGGAGGAACGCTGCTTACTGGCTTGCTCCCCCGGCCCCTGCTCAAACGGCTTTCTTATGCAACACAGGCCCACCTGCCCAGGGGTGACACCACCCACAGTGGGCTGGGCCCTCCCACATCACTCAACAATCAAGAAGATGCCCCACAGACATGGCCACAAGCCAGTCCTATGGAGGCAATTCC